CAACGAAGTCATTGACGTCCAAACAAAAGGCAGCCAAGCGCAATGTGGCGGCAGCGGCGAAGCGTAGCAGCAAGAAGTAGTCAATGTAATCACACTTTACAGTAACTGTTAACTTGGAAATTTTCCGACAAGTATTGGTAACTATGAACTATAGATTTATAGGACATGCTAGTAGTGTAACCTATTGGTTGGTAGCATATCATACTGGCGCCTATTATTGCCTAGTGTTTAATAGTCTATACTAGTGTATACTGTGATGTGTTAGTGATCACTATTACACCTATAGCTAAATAGGTTTAACTAGTACTCATGGTAAACAATATTAATTGTATGTATTTACCTACTGTTGAGGTGGTTCATACATGACTGTTAGCGACGAAGCTTGATTAGTCCGTTGCCGTTTTCTCATGTTGTTCACTGCAAGGATCGATTTGCGGTACGCCTGGATCGGATGAAGCAACTTCTGCACTTTCGCCAGTTGACGTGGTGCGTGCTGGATATCGCTTGCATGCTGGATGAGCCACGATGACAGTTCTCATATTGTTTGGGCGACGTGCGCGGATGCCAACAGCTGCGAGTCGTCGAGAATCGAGACAGTGTCGTGGTTAAGTTTGGGTCGTGCACTAAGTGCGTTTACTCCTTTGTCGATGGATTTTTTCGTGCACTCTTGCCGCAGCATTTCGTCCTTCGTCGCAGGAAACACCCACATAGGCGGCGTTAGCTACCGCACCTTGTAACGCGGCGGCACCTGATGGACGTATCGTTAACTCCTGGTGTGTGGAATGTGTAGTTGCTACCTTGGTGTTGTGTGCTAAAATGTATCTGTGTACGAGATGCTTGCACAGGAGAAATTCTCCGTAGGCGTACGAAGGACAGGTACAAGTCCAACGCAGCACCGACGTGTCGTACACGTCATTCAAATCGCCTTCGTCGGATTTCGTTGCGAAAACTTTCCACTGTGAGTTCATCCTGGATTCCCAAGACGGCAGTGCTACAAATAACCCATGAGTGTGGGCAATGCTCTTATCACTATATTCCACTAGCCACGCGTAGAGGACGCTAGTATGGCCTAGCCACAAATAAGACCCACTACGTACAACTAGTGGGAACCATGGCAAAATAGTGCATATCAAGATGGTATGGGTGCATAGTAATACTGTACCATACGAAATACGTCCATCTGTTGCACGAATGAACTTGTCGATGTACCATTCTTGTATGTTTGTCACGATGATAAAGCAAAGAAGGTCGAGTCGTGGTCGTTGAAAGTCCTGAACATAGGTGTCAAGATGATCACCAGTCAATACCTCCATACCCTTAAGAATCGATACTTCAGACAGTTAAAGTGCGCCTCGGCCATCATACTGGTTCGAAGGGTCGCCAATGCAGTTGGACACTGAGACCTCGCCCATCGCTTGAATTCATTCTCTGAGTACCAGTTGTTGAACAGGTACACAAATAGATATGATGCGCTGCATTCATTGCAAAAGTTGTAGATTTCTTCCACAGCGCGGATGTAGAACACGCGAGCTTTGTCGTGGGGGGGCATAGCATCGTCCTAGTTATCACTGTGAGTACATAGCTGGCCCTAGGCAATCCAAGTAATTGCTAGCGATGTCCTAGTAATCGCTAGTAAACACTAGTGTATATGTTAGTACGCACATGCATCGACATAAATGGGTGAGCTTTGTAATGCGACTTCATTAGTGATAGCAACGGCCCCAGCACCGCTTTGTCACAGAAGCTTTCCTCCAACACGTGTGTTCCATGCACCCACACTGCTGGAAACGCAGGCGTGTACCCTTCAACATGGAGCAAGGTATTCGTCGGGGCGAACCTTAATCCAAGCCATTTGTATCAATTAGCTTACACACGTAGGTGTAGTACCGCACTTACCTGCGGATATCTGGAAATACCTTTCCTTGCATGAAGCGTGCTTGAATTGCTCGATCCATGTGCCACAAGCACAAATACAATTTCACGCCAGTCCAAACGGCCGTTGCTGCTGCAATTTGAGCGCTATCCTTGTCCATGTGGACAAAGGCTGGATGCAACCCAAAGTCATCGCGTAGTAGTGCAAGCCATCGTTGCAAGTAAGCGACCTTGACTTCCGCTCTGTCTACGTTAAACATTATAAACATGCATCCACAAAATATATATAGTTCACCTAGTAACCACTATGTACAGCTAGCAGCTAAGTAATAACACATACAACCACGTTGTGACACCTGCAAATCCATAGTAGGCGCTAGTGTTACACAGTGAAAGCGATGATATACTAGTGTTTACAAATGCTTTACCGTTCTCTTTAAAAAAAAAATACGACACAGGGTACCCTTGACCACGAAATGGCACGAGGAGCGCGTACAATTCAAAACCTGACGCGTTCGTTTTGTGCGTCGAGTCCATCACGCACTCGGCGCTGTGAGTCAAGTCGAAGGTGTACTGTACTCCAGACATGGACTTCAGCAGCTGCGATAACACCAAAACCACGTTTTGGACATAGCGCACGCCTGCAATGGCCAAAGTCGTGCTGAAAATGGCGGGGGACTTCTCCAGGTACTGCATGGTTGAAACGACTGGATCGTTGTGGGACTTGAAGTGATCATGCATGATCTATATAATATATCATATTAACAAGCCCCATAATGCAAAATAATAAATGAATAGCAAAACCTTTCGCCAATGATACGAAATTTGCGATATGGTCGACAACCTTGGTTGCGCATTACTGCGCATCAAGTTCAAGCGGATTTGTGAAGGAGACAACGTCAATGCAAACTTCGCAATGTACTCCAAGCAATCATGGGGCATCTTTACTGTGGAGTTCTCGCGTCCAGGATGGTGTTCATGGTGATTGATTCGAACAAAGATAGCTGTCGTCGTGCAAGCAATCGCCAACGTTCCTATTGTCATAATAGAAATTACTGGTATTTACTAGTTCTAGCTGCTGTCAACTAGGCATACATAGAACATCACATGAACACAAAGGGGTCAATAATTTTACCTTGACATTCGTAGGAGTTGTAAGCTTCCCGGTTTCGTCGCTTTGCAGGATTAACGTTTTTGAACTTCTCGACATTGCGCTGGTAGACTTTGAGCTGGCGATCTTTGCGTTGGGAGCACCGAAAGGTAGCAACATGTGTGCCGCCGTGGCGATCAATTTGCTTCGTTTTGGCGTTAACACTATATCGTACTAGGTGACACTATTCTATACTAGTGTATAATATTGTTTTGCTACCTGAAACCAAAGCCGAAGCTATCGGACAAACTATGGAGGACCCACGCACGGATGTCCACCAGTGAGCTGTCCTCAACACGGGGTATGGCGAACATGACAGCACCAGTGTGTGAAGCCAGTTCCCAGATGAGCTCGTCAGAGAAAGCCACCAATGACTCCGCTTCGAATGTCGGCACGCGCTGGACCGAGGGGTTGGATAGTGATGGTCTACATGAATTACACTGTGCCCAAGGAGTGTTACGGTTAGAATCAACAAACATCATCCATGGCATTTCCAACTTGCAGCGGCAGCACCGTAGCACAATAGTAGCGTCGTCGACGGCACCAAAGTCCGTGGAAATACCATCCATGATGTAATGTGTGTGGCAGTGACGAGTCCATAATATATTCTTAATTAATTTAATGAAGCTTAATTAAGCTTACATGATTAATCATAAATCATTTATATTTCCCTTTTCAATCGAAATACAGTGGTACTGTGGATTGAGGACTTTTTAGATGTACCTCAAACTACCTACTTCGACGAAGAAAAATGGTGTAGTATAATTTACGCCACCAAAATCTTCCGTATTAGGCCGTCCACGATGTGTTAAGCAAAGTACACACTCATGGGAATCAAGAAGTTGGGCTACCTACTTAGTCTCCCGGCTGTGGTGATTACTACTCAACGATATTGTACCGTAATTCCCGGGACGAAGCGATGGGTATTCTGCTCGGCCGGCTGGCATTCCAACCTACAGATAGAACAACTAAACTAATACAATATGAATTTCAATCAATTCAATGATACGTTATGCCTCTGCCGTCCCTACTAGCCCCAACGCTACAGCGGCGAATGACACATGGTACCACTTCATTGTGACCTCGCCGATCATCCACGAAGTCCACGAATTGGGCTCCATGTCGTTCCATCTCGTCTACGGATAGGGAAAAATTGCTTTCTCCGAAATCGACGACACAAAACCCCTTGCTTTTATTTTGCTTTCAACTTTCACGGAAAAAGAAAAAGAGAAGTCATCTCCGAAATCTCCCTAATACTGTAGTTTCGCAATTCAGCGTTAATTGCTAAGCTATTTAGCCCAGTAGATCCGACTCGACGTCACGGATGCCGTGGGCGATGTTTCAAGGCGATCAGAGCAATTCTCTGTGAGAAGAGTGTCCTATTTGCGTAAATTGCGCTACCTTAGACATTTGGCTTATGCTCATAACATGTCAAAAATCGAAGTATTTATAATGCCAAAACAATAAAAATATCGTGTGATAACCATGGCGGGAATTCCATTTTATCGCAGTTCAAATGCCACGAAAAGGACGATCAAGGAGCTAATGTCGACGGACGAAGGGTACTCGCAAGTGCGCATCCAACGAGCGCAAGATGGTTAAAACTCGGTCATCACATGCCTCTCCTGTCCATGTGGATCGTGCAATTGTGCGCCCACTAGTCCAAATACCAGCACCAACGTCCTATGTCAGCAGTCTACAGTGCATACCGAAGGTTAAATCCTGTCGTTTCCACCATCACCCCGATTAAACAAGGTGACACAAGTCCAGACTTAGCGTGGGCTATCGCGCGTCTCAATTGGACAGGTAATTAGCCATACGACTTGGCATTTGGCAGAGGGATTCCCGACGCCTTGGCCCTGTCCCCGTGGTTTTGATGCTGCCAACTTGACACCCATGGCTATCACACACAAAGGAGAAGTAAAAATTGGTGGTTGTGGCCACGGAAACAACAAACAGTGCGTTTCAAACGCGACGACAATGGATTAGTCGATACGTTGGGGGAATTGGCGTCCCCTAAGACGTACATCAACACCAAGTACAGCTCTGAAGCCAGATTCTCGCTGGGTTGTGCAGTGGTATCAAACGAGAATGGTGCTCACATCAGGGCTCGTTATGTACCCTTTGTGTACACGGGTCAATGGATATGTACCAAAAAAGACTACGACGTTCTGCGCGATCACGAAATCCAAAGAGTCAAGCGCCTACCGGGTGATTACTCTGTCTGGGTTACTGGCTCCCGCGATAAACAATCGCAAGGCAACGTTATAATATATATAATCTAAATAAATCAAAGTGGCTCATGTTACTTCTACCGGTAGTGGTCTTCGAAGGTGATTGTGTTTCAAAAGTGCGTGGAGTGGGACCACGTTTACAAGACCAATTATATGGCCCCGGAATTGATACTGTTGGGGCCTTGGCTGCGACAGAGATCACTTCCCTCGCAACGACCTTACATGGTGTCAGTCTGCGGCGCCTGCAGGCGTTCCAATCTCAGGCCATGCTCGCCACTCCGGGATTCTACATTGGCACTCAGATCGATCACAGACTGGCAACCAATCCTTACCAATCCCGTTATGGGGATGATTGGGAGAATTCAATTGATCGCTCTTCTGCCTTAGCAGGACATTGCTGTGTGACAACTCTCATCGAGCACATCGTCACCGAGTTGGCCCGAGTGATGCGTGGGACTCCCCACGAGGAGACCTGGATTTTCTGGCACGATGCATTGACGTAGATAACGTGCTCGACTACGATCCATTGGATGAGATCCAAGGGGTATCTGCATCGATGGTTATTACCGGAGCACGACATCAACAAGGGAACCGTCTTTGCAGGCAGGCCAATCGGAAACAGCCCCGAATGTTCGGACTGTTCCCTAATCAAAGATGTCGACAATTCGTATAAACGACACAAGGCATGTACGGCCCAGCTCGTCCAACATACGACCGACGCGGGACTCCGCGTCCAAGATCTTCGTATCGAAGTGAATCGCTCGCTGCAGACGTTGCTTCAAAACGTCCAGGTCTTGAGGGTCTTCCTCAAACGCTGACTTGAACCACGCGACCCCTCATCGTTCGTGAGGCCCACCTACCTCGAGACGCCCCAGCCAAATTTTGTGCCTCCACACCCAAACGAATCAAGAGTGCGTACATGCGCATCCTGGATCCCAGCCTGGGAGTTGCGGGAAATACAGAATAGTGGAAATTCAAATTGAATTCATAAGCTTACACTTGGTATAGTGGTTCGCCGTTTTACAGCCACAATTGACATATGAGTTAAGTTGGTGACAGCATGAAAACATTTAGGATGGAGATCAATACTGTGTCGAAATTCGCGTGACAAGGCGCCGAACAGCTTTGTGCGTTTGTTGATGGTCTCGTGGCGAGCCAATGATGTCTTTGTGGCACCTCGGGTTTTGAAGTTGGGAGCATGGGTAGATAAAGTAGTTGGGGTCACTGTACTCTTTCTCTGCAAGCGTCAATTCACCACGGCGGACCATGCTGATGTAGGAATCGCGTGCCAACCGCACGCCTGGCCACTCCCCACATCGGGGCCCTCCGTTTACCCAAACAATGTTGCCCATCCGAATCCAGATGCCGACTTCGTAACGGAGGCCTGGACCATGGAACTTGTGGGAGTACCATTTGCGATCAAATGGTATCTGTTCGTGGATGCGGAAATCTGATCCATCGAGAGACACAAATGCCCTGTCACTTGAACGACTTAACTCCAAACGACGATCCCACTCAATCTAGCATGACATTAGTGTTAATAGCAGGTTGATATACAGCCACGTTGAGACTAGCAATTAAAGTAACCCAATTCCAACCCAGCGTCGAAAGGTCTTTTCGTCGGCTTGGGCAGTGATGAACGTCTTAAGTACAAGAGCAGGGCCCAGAGCAGGTGGATTGGACGCGAGGACACTGGGCGTCGGTCTTCAACCATAGTCCATACAAGGCTAGCACATAGGGGGTCACCCCAAACATAGCCTTGTATCGTCGGCAGTTGGACTCTAGCGATGCACCATGATGGTTCATCATGTGGCACCCATGGTGCCAGAAGGTCGGAGACAACCGACCTTCCATCGATTTCGAATTTGCGCACCTTCTTGAAACGCAGTTATCCGGATTGAAATTGAAGCTGGGGTTACTTACTTTTATCAGTTTTGAGTCTACTGAGCATCACTTGCAAATCGTGATCCTGGATATTGTAGTACATATTTAGTAGTAGTATCTACTAAATGAATTCACAGACGTCCACACACAAAACGACGAACATGTGAACAAGGCGAAGAAGAGTGTTTGCCCAAGGATACCGTGATGAATATGCGATACCAAAGCAAATCCTCTCGTATTTGTCTACTTATTATTGCATAGATTCAGTATCCATTGAGATTATACAAGATTAGCTCGCAGAAAATAGCCAAGCCAAGTGCTTAAAAAGCAAAATTCGTCCTCCTTCACGATGAATGTCTGTGTTTGACGTGAAATTCAGCGCAGATCCTGCGCCTTCGGTACAAAGTACTTGTAGTAACGGTTGTTAATACATTTGTAAGCATTACGTATCCAGCATCAGATTCATAATCCCCTGGGAGAAAGTCGAGTTATCATGCGTCAAAGTATTCGACAGATCCGAATTGAAGGAAATTCGAATTCAGCAGAAGTTTCAAATGAGCATGTTGAACATCTAGTACTCTACTACTCTGTTCTCGTATGACTGTCCACTTGTTTTGTGATTGGCGGGATTTTTCTAATTTTGAGCGTGCTGTGCCGCTGATTGGTGCACCAGAAAGCGCAAGATATCATCTTTGATTGGCTAGTTTCAGCGCTTTCTGAAACATTTTGCTTCAAATTTTATGCTCCCTCAAAGAGGCCATGGTCGGTTGACCACCATTGGAATCTTACGGTGAGGATTCATTGCTCCATTTAACGCCTCCAAAACTTATCTAGCCTATCAGTACTCATCAGGACATGCCTCGCACAAAGGCCCCGGTCGTCCCGACGCCTGAACGATCCAAGAAAGCCCAGGAGAACTTAAATCCGGACCAACGCTGCGCAATGTATGCCAAGCTTCTGGAGTGCTCGGTTGGCGGCGAGCTTCCGTACGGTGTACTAACGAGTATAGCCAAGCGGTTTCATTGCCATCCACGGACAGTCAAGCGCTTGTGGGACCAAGGACGCCTCTCAGAGAGGAGCAATGGCGGCGTTGCTGTGGTTGCGTCGAATATCAAGGGTAATTTCTCTATAATATGATATTTTTACGAAATATATGAACTTATACAAGCATTAAATGTTAAGGGGAAACTGTATTAGGGAATTCTGGACGCCCAAGGCTAAGAACAAATGATGAAATTGAAGCTGCAGTAAAAGCTGTTCCCCAGTTCAACCGCCAAACTCTGCGCTCCTTGGAAGCACAAAGCAAGATACCCAAGACAACTCTCTTCCGGCACATCAAGGAAATGAGGACTCTGAAGGGCCGATCAAGCTACATCAAGCCCCTCCTCACGGATGACAACAAGGCGATGTGACTGGAGTTTGCGAAAAGCTTTCTTCGACCTTCGTCAAAAGGGGGGCATCTTTTCGCCAGTATGCGCGACATCGTGCATATTGATGAAAAGTGGTTCTTTTTGACGAAGGTCAAAAGAAAGTTTTACGTGTATGAAGATGAAGAAATGGCGCATCGTGGAGCCAAGTCAAAAAAATTCATCACGAAGGTGATGTTTTTGGCCGCCGTCGCCCGACCCCGTTTCGACCACAACAAGAAGGTGGTTTTCGACGGCAAGATTGGCGTTTGGCCATTTGTCGAGGTCGTGGCAGCCCAGCGAACAAGCAAGAATCGGCCGAAGGGGACCCTCATTCAAGTCCCCAAAAATGTCAACGGAGATGTTTACGAATCGATGGTTCTCGGCAAAGTTGTGCCTGCCATTTTGGAGTGTTTCCCAGTAGGTGACCTTGAACGTGGCGTGTTTATTCAACACGACAATGCCAGTCCCCATCGTCGAGTTACCACTGCTTTGCTGCGAAAAGAAGGCGTGTCGAATGTTACCATGTTGAACCAACCGCCAAACAGCCCGGACTTTAATATTTTAGACTTAGGATTTTTTAACGCTATTCAAAGTCTGCAGTATCAAAAATGTACTCGTTCAATCGGGGAACTTATTGAAGCTGTGGAAAATGCTTTTGTTGAATTACCAGTAGACACAGTATCTAAGACATTCATTACTCTGCAAAAGGTGATGCAATTGTCCATTGAAGAGCATGGTAGTAACAATTTTAAACTTCCACACATGAACAAGGAAGCTACCATTGCTGACTTAACGTCATTCAATGTAAGATGCGATTCGTCTACACTGGTCAATTCCCAAGAACAAGTTGAGTCAGTGCTTGTATAAAAATACATTGAAAAAGTTCGAGTCAATATGTCTTGCTGGAGGTCAATACAAATACCAAAACGTTTTAAAACTAGTCGGTATACTTTAATCAAGTCAAACAAGTGGACAGTCATACGAGAACAGAGTAGTAGTAGGTACAAGCATTATCCGGGTATATTTGAAATTGCGCGCGCAATCCTCGTTCATTTTCGAAATCTTCTTGCAATGCACCGACAACCATCACGCAGGACTCGCAGTAGCGCGGCCACACGAGTAGCATGGAGCACGTCACCTCCATGGGAGGCGCAGAAGCTACTCGACGACCTGGTGCAATCGAGTTGTGTGAGTGCATCGACAAAGGCTCGTGACGTCGACGATGAGCACGTATTATTCCAGCAGTACAGCTTCGACGCATTTGACGCCCACTTCCGAAAGGCCATGTTACGACAGGGAGCAACATGTAAGACATTGTGTACTACACTATACTTAAAATCACTAATGTACAGTATGCAGTGCAATCGACGGCACCTAGCTTCGAAGCGACTGAAATTCCGTGTCACGAGGACATGACATTTGAGTTTGGTGAATAGGCTTTTTCAACATTGGATGGAATTGCCAAATTTTTCAGCTACCCTTGCAACATTTACCAGTACCGCCGCCACCCTTCGCGGGAAGTCAGTGTTTGTGTATTGTTCACAGAACCTCGAAACGCCACCAACGTGGAAATCACAATCGGCCCCAGCCAGCGAACCATCGAAATTGATTTCGAGTGGCCCAAAGACACTTGGAATGTGGATGCAGCCTATGGGGATGTCAAGGTTGAAAAACCCGACACCTTTGACATCCGACCGCAGACGATTGCTGCAAGAATCGGCGCTGAGTTGCTCCGTGCCACCGACCGGAAGCCCCCCAAAACACATGCAACAATCAACTTGCCTGTTCAAGTTCACTTGGATAGTCTGAAGGTGTTCAAGACGTTCAGCCAACAAGCCATTTTGTTGGAGGCGTCGGTTGTGAACTACGATCTCCACGCGACAACAAGTGTTTGGACCCTGTAGATGTTTTATTCAGGTCATTGATCAGTAGCGTTTTTCCTTATTCTAATGAAATATTCATTTGATTTGATTTATCATGTCGTTCTGAACGAAAAATGGGCAAACATACACGGCTAGAATCATTGGATACAGGATTTCCCGCAACTCCCTGGGAATTCATGCCGGCGGTCCTACGAGTAAACGAATTGTTCAAGATATGACAAGATGCTTTGGAGACCAACTTTTGGCCATCATAGCTGCAGAAGGAGCTGTTGTCCATAGCCTTGGAAATCGGAATGGCAAACGTCGCCCGGACAGAGGCAACGGGCGCGGTGGGAGGCGTTTGAAGCCGGTTGGCGCAACTGTCCATTGTCTCCATCTTGACGCCGAAGCTGGACGCTGATCAACTGGGCTTGGCAACCAGTGCAGTGGAGTTCTCAAATGATTTATTATTTTCGGCGCTCGTGTAGGTTTAGGTCACTGTGGTCGTTTCAATGTTGCTCTCGAATAAAAATATGGACATTTTAATTGAAAGTGACTTTTAAATTACCCTCGTACTATAGGAAACGTCTCTTGGCGTTCAAGGCAGTATTGTTCGGCCATTGCAATCATAATTTGAGGTGGCTGGATTATGTCGTTGTACCAATAAGAGGCCAAAATTTGACGGTATTTCCATCAAAATTGAAGAAGTTATGAAAATTTGGGAGATGGCTCGTCCAAACGTACGGTGTGGATATTTCCAATCTTTTCATTCATTTTTCAACAACACTAATACGAATTTCGAATGATTTCAAGTCCTACGAACTGCATTACTAGTAATTCTCCTCTTTAAGAGCAATTTGGAGTAAAGGAACCCCTCCATCGAAAGGTCCCAAAATGTGTCACGGAACCATGCCCATATGTATATAAAACAGTTCGAAACAAGTACGAGTGGTGCATAAAACGCACAAAGTTCGGATCAATGTGGGTTTTAGTCCAATCAAAATGGAAACATATACTAACTACTCTGTCCCAAATTACCTCCATGTTTCAACTTCGACTCACCTCAAAAATTGACTCATTTACCCAATTTCTACGAAATTTGTACCAATGAGAAGCTGGGAATTCGGTGTTTTGCTTGCTCATATTTATATCACAGGTTTGTTGGATAATGACTTGTTAATGGAATTCGCAAGGTGAGCCACCTTGCTCCTTTTTAATATCCAATCAGAGTCCATCACACCTTGCTTCTTACACCTTACACACGATTGGCTACAATACTGGAAGAAGAGGTTACAATTTTGAACTGTTTGGACACTTGAATTTTGTAGAGCTTTGTGTGATGCTGCTCCGGAGAATTGTACACTGATGAGTTCACTCCGACTATGTCCAATGTGGTTCTCCCCTTACATCTAACATCATGTTGTGCGCTCGGTTGGGTCGCAATGTCGTGGTGGCTCTGGTGGGCCAACGCGGTGGCGCAAGAGGTCTAGGTAGCACCCATCGCAAACGCTAAGCGCTAAAGCCGCCACTTCAGCACTTGCGATGGTGCCACCAAGACGTCTTGCGCCACCGCCCGCGCAACCACGTGATCACATCGGCAGGGAGGTGTACGGCACCGACACGTACTGGATGGTGGAATGAGGATGACCAATTTCATTGGGTTAGTAGGCAAGTGGTGAAATGAGACCTGTTAGAATTGACCGAGTCCTGAATACCACAGATCTTGCTATCATACACAGCCTACAATTATCTCAAGGCTCCTCGCATCAACTGCCATCACAGGAGTAGAATATATCGCAGCAGGGCGTGATGAATCTACGCAGCGATTTTCGTGATTTGACGGCATCTGATTGGACAAAATTGGACAATTTTAAACTCGCAAGGTGACCTGCCTTGCGAATTCCAAAATGAGACAGACACATAAAAATTAAAAATCATCAATACAAACTTGAAGATATATTTAATTGAAACTATACAATTTCAGAATTATTTATGGAATTCGCAAGGTGGTTCACCTTGCGCTGCATACAAAATTGCCTATTTCACCTTTCTTTTTCTGGTTATTGTGCAACTATTATCAAAATAATATTGCTTCTCAGAGCAGAATTTAAATTTCTCACCGGGTTTGATTAATGTATCGTGCGTTTGGGCAAAACGAATCATTTGTTTTCAAATACTGGGCGGATTTACACTGTTCTGAGTATATTAGTTTGCTCAGAATGTATGGCAGGAAAGTAATTTGAAACAACAATATCTATTTTAATATCCTGTTGTAATGAAAATAAAACCCCTCACCCGATAAACTGATTCCTCCTCTGTTCGAATATACCTTTCGATCTAAAAAGTAATACACGGGGGAAAAGTTATGGAAGAATTAACCAATACATTCGATTTGCCCGAACGCAGGGTATGGTCAAATGGGTAACAAAAGCCGGATAATCCATAGGACTGCGAAACAAATAGTTTCGTCTGAGTTTCGTAATCCCAACCAATCTAATTCGAAGTATCTTGTTCATTGTATGTGGCCAAACCATCGAGTGAATTGGTTGGGATACGAAAATCCCACGCAACCCATTGTGCGGAGGCGACTCCTGTGACGCCCGACACTTTCGGCGCTTCGTGATTGAATCTCGTTCGTTCTGCTCGAGTAAGGCAGGCATACCTGTCGTAACCATGGTAGCACTCCTCGTCCTGTATATCGACAATGTTGAAGTAAGAAGTTTGGACCAATTGACTCGACCAATTGCTTGTTGACAAGAGACAGTTCAGCTATACAAAGATCATCAGTCTGATTTAGGACAAATTTAAATAAATCCTCGTAATAAAAGTGATTTTGTGGAAAAACTCGATGTAATTTGGGACAGAGTGGTACTACGTAGTAAGGGGAAGTTCCAAGTAGTTTTCAGACATAGCATGAGCCAATCAAAATCGATTTACCTCCTTTTTTTCACAATTTAAAAAAAACGTCAAGCACCTCTTTTTCTACTTTTGGTATAGTGAGTTGCGTAAAAAATCGCACAAAAAGAGGTAAATAAGTAGGAAACTGTACTTGGAACCAATTTTTCATTTTGCTAAACATATCTACTTGGAACAGGCCCTAAGTACTACACGTGACTATGCTATAGTAGATTTCTAAACCAGATGCAGCCTTCTATTGGGAAAGTGTCCCAAGACCAGGACTGGGCAGGGCGTCTCACTGATATACAGTAAACACTGCCGTAGCAGTTGCAAATAAAACTCTATAGTGTGATTGAACTGACATGTAAAACTACATCGGAAAATTACAAAAACATCGACAAATACCCTTGTTCCTGATGAAATGGGTGGTATTTCGGGTATTTGCCTCCAGCTTCCAGTTCTGTGAATACAATAAGCCTACTGGAGGAATAATAAAATGAGTTAAAAATGTGAGTCAAATAGGTAAAAAGTCAGTTTAAATGGTAAATAACGGTTGTAAACTGTTGCAAAAGGGTAAAAGGCGTCCAAAAAGTTGCACCTTTTACCCATCACATACCCACCTTTAACTTTTATTGTTATATTCGTTTTAAACCCTCTTAGCGGGCCGTTTAATGGTACTTCGAAGTATAAACTAGTTTATGCTACCTCCAGACGGAAATAGAAGTGCCTTTTGGGAAGAATGTGCATAATTTCCTCAAATTTGCACTTTTAGAAAATCCCAGTCAAAAGGTTGCATTTCGACCAATCTTATTGGCTTGAATTGACAAAAATATGAAAAGATGCAACTGCAGCAGAATGGATGGAAATTGTGCACTTGAGCAATACTCAATTCACAACCGTGAGAGTGATGTGCTTTATCGAAGCATATGGGCTGACTTGTTTGAAGCATAAATTCACACCAAAGCATGTTTAATATGGTGAGCCATTATAGTATACAATGCCTGAATCCAAAATATGAATATTCAGAGCGAATGTTTACCTCTGGTGGCATATTGCATACTTCCTCCGTTCCAAAATTGTTGTCCGAGTTTAGGGAGGGTATACATGTCCCTGTATAATAATATAAGGTAAGTTTGAAATGCTGCTGTCACCTTCCCAATTTCGATTTCACGTCCAATGATTAGTCATTTGCAACGAGCGCGCCAAGTGCTATCCCGTGCCTGAATGACGAAATATTTGGAGAAAAGTCAAAGTTTTCGTGCATGAAAAATTCAATATAAAACCAACATTCAAATACATTCATTCCACACTGGGCGAAGGAGATCCTCCTTAAAAGCGTCGGTAGTTTCATGCCACGACTGGCAAAAGGCTTCAGCGAAGAGCTAGCAGCCACGTACAACTGCAACGTCAGAACCATCAGGCGGATTCATGTGCAAGCCAAGGCGAACGGAGCGCTCACAGGCGTCATGAATGTGAATGTCGCCAGCAAGAAGAAGGGTCGAGTTGGCCGAAAGAAGGCCTTCCCTCCATCCCAAATAAGGGCAAACTCTTTGCAATTGTAGATCGCTAGTATAACTGATGACGTCGAGTACACAGCATTGTGATGCACAGGGCCCTAGGCTTCTATTGTATTGCAGCTTTTGCCGATTATAGTTATGCAGAGATTTATCACACACACACCCATCATACATTCAGTGGCATAGCCAGAGCAACCCTTTTAACATTATATATTGACAAAAGCACACAACTATAGATATTTGTAGGGTTCCAAATTTAAATGAGGGGAGGAGTACGCCAACTTTCTGAGTAGGACAACAATTTTGGAACAGAGGACGTACTTCAAAAACCATCTGTTAGGCATAGGCAGACAAGGATTGAAGTTACATAGTTTAAGCTATATACATGTGATTGAAGCTGGAAGAGCTCCAGGCTTCACATTCCTCGACTACTTCAGTGTGTCGAGGGCCAATAGCTACCTTGTTTTGATCCTACACACACTACTTGAAGGTTGCATATATTGAAAGATATGACAAACTTCAATCAGTGCAGCTAAGGTTGCACTACTTTACATGTATGCATGTCTTTGGCGATGATAATTTTGGAGGTTCTAGAGCTAAGCTCACTTCTGAATCCACCCTTCCTTTGAGCCACTACCACTACATCTGTGTGTGTTGTGTGCCTACGTCTGTTATTTCAAAATCCGACGCCCCCCCCATGTCCCCCTACATCGTTCTACTACTCTGTGACCATGTCCGACGCCACGATCAACGACAAGTCGGACACGGACCTCAAGCTCAACGGCCGGAAGATCATGTTCACCGCCTGTAAGGCCCGCATCATCGCGCACCTCAACTCCAAGTCGACGGAAGACGACTACAAGCGTGTTATGGACGACAAGAAGCCGCTCAACTTGGCGCATTCTGATTAGCTGAAATTTAAGCCAATCATCAACGACGTCGATGTCGCCGCCGACATGCCGCCTCAGCGAGCCTGGAGGCCGAGAAGATGAAGCGCTTCTGTTACCTGGGCATGCAGGAGAGCCTGATCAGGAGCTTATTTGGTAAAGCGTTACTACTCTGGTCCACAATAGCTGTCCTATTGTTTTGACCTGATTAAAGTATATTGACCTGGCTCGAAACCTCTTGAAGTTTGTATTGGTCTCCGAAATGCAATATTGGTCGACGATATTTTTATTGTATTTTTATTCTAATGTCGACCCTACTTGAGAATTGACCAGGTCTTCCAAATGAGCTTCCTCTCCAAGGCGACTTTCCAAATCGAGAAGTCCACCTTCGACAGCGGACAAATTGCATTCGACATTGTATAATGCCAAGTCTGAAATGGTCGCATCCTTTCTCATATGAGGAAGTTTATAGTTGTTGCTTCCGAGCATTTTAATTGACTTTTCCATCAGTTTCTGCAACGTTATGAACGTTTTAGAAAGTCTGTCCATCGGCAACTCATAAAACGCGGCTTCCACAGCATCAATAAGATCCTCGATAGAACTAGTACACTTTTGATGCTGCAGACTTTGAATAGAGTTAAAAAAAAAACCTAAGTCCAAGACATTGAAGTCAGGACTGTTGGGAGGTTAGTTTTCTACTCTAATTTTCTCTACTCCCTTTTGGGCTAACAGCTCGGTTGTCACACAGCGGTGAGGGCCCGCGTTGTCTTGTTGTATGGCGACACCACGGGACAGGGCACGAGGTGGGAATCGTTCCAAAATGGCTGGGACAACCTTGTCGATGATGGCCTTCTTGTAGACTTCGCCATCCACAACTTGTGGGACGACGGCGGGGGTCCCTTTCGCGCGATTTTTGCTGTTTCGCTTGGCGGGCTGGACAACAACGAAAGGCCACACGCCAACCTTGCCGTCGAAATACGCCTTTTTCGTGTGGTCGAATCGAGGCCGGGCCACCGCGGCCAAGAACATCACTTGGGTGATGAACTGCTTGGACTTCGCCGCACGCAAGGCCACTTCTTCATCGTCGTAGACAAAAGAACTTTCGCTTGACTTTTGTCAAGTAGAACCACTTGTCACCTACATGAACATACTCGTTCATGTTGACGAAAGCATGGTTTCCACTTGGCATAAGTCGATCAAAAGACTTGGCAAAATCGAGACGCGCCCTTGTGTTGTCTTCAGTGAGCATGGGCTTGATGTAGCTGGCTCGGGACTTCAGCCTCTTGGTCTCTTGCATGTGACGGACGATGGACGTCTTCGGAAGTCCACTGTGTGCCGCAAGAGAACGGAGGGTTTGACGCTGGTGCTGTGGCACACTCTTGATTGCGCCTTCGAAATCAGCAGCCAAACGTGACTTTTTTCGACCCGAATTGCCTTAAGTCGTTTTTCTGTTATTATCAATAATTGTGTAATTTAATGATTTGAATGTGAAATATAATGTATTGGAGGATTTACCCTTGAGTTTCGAGGCGCCATCGGCATGCGGTGACCCGTTGGAGAGCGAGTGTCATCCACGCTTCCACACTCGCGATATAGTCTTCCAGTGGCACTTCAAGTGCGCAGCAACGTCCTTTAATGCGCCGTACTTAAGGCGGCCATTGGACGAGCTCTGTAGGAGCAGCTCGTAGGCAGTGCGTCGCTCGGCTGGCGTGAGGTGGCGCGTGCCGCTTTGAGACGCCATTCGAATCGTTCTGAGGCGCAACCGTGGTTTTGGTGCTCTTTAGTGGCTCTGTGTAGGGTGCACGAAGTCTGAACGTGTACAACTTTAAGAATGAGTCCTATCCGGGTTGATTTGTTTGTCAGATTTGTTCCCGCTCACTTTGCTTGCCCACAACTTTTGAGAAAATGCGATTCAGAACATGCAGAAAGTAACCAATGAAAATAGAGATCTTGCGCTTTCCATTGCACCAATCATCACGCCATTTGGA